GTTGAACCGTTAAGAAAGACAAAACAATTGAAACTAACGAAAAAATGAGTGGGTATTATGGATTTTGTTGTTAGTTTGTTATTTGATTTTTGCTTTGATTTTGATTAAGCACTAACTAGATTATGCTTCTTGGTTTAAGGTTAAGGTGTGGTAATGTGTTTTGGATTTAGGGTAGCAATTGGGTTTAAGGTTAGGATGTGGTAATGTGTTTTGTGCATTTTGTATCATGTGGCAAAATGATGATAGCTATTGGGAAGTCATTTTGTATCCAAGGGTTTTTTTGTATTAAGTGGCAACTACTAGCAAAATGTCTTTTGGATTAGATTATGTAATGATAATGATTTAGATTATATAGTTGTTTTAATTTTTTTTGTTTAAATCTTGATTTTAATCATCTAATGAAAAATGAATTAAGATTGTTGCAATAGATCTTTTAATATCAATAAACCTGAAACTAACAATAGATAAATCAGTAATAATACCAACATTATACACTAGTAACAATACCAACATAAATAAATAATCAACAAACCAATAAACTAGTATGCAATTTTAGGGAGAAACATGAAAAAATCCAAAACAAAATTAATGAACAAAAACATGACTTTATTTATAATGAAGAGCCATTTACACTAGTATGTAATTAAAGGTAGTTTGTTGGACTTTACATCAATACCATAAACCAATCTTTTACATAAAAAGAAAATCTCTTAAAAAATAAAAAAATTTCTATACTATTCTAGCATACTAGTAGTATCAAAAGAACTTTACATCATAAACCAATCATGCACATAAAAACAAACACATATTTCCAAGCTAGCCTTGCTGGTAATTGGCCTAGTAATGTTTTTCATTTTATGATAGTTGGCCTTATTGGACTTTAGTAGCTCTTTTGTTTTGTTGAACATCAATTAAAGATTTGGATAGCTTTCTCTTCCCTTTGCCTATATTGTCAAGTCTATGAAGTAGTGATGGAAAAGGTTTACAAGATCCAAAAAGGCCATCATATTCAAAAATATGACTTTATGGTGTTTGAAATACTTAACTAAACCCTACATATCAATATGACAAATGATTAGTTATTTATGATATGGCAAAAATTTTAAGGTTGATAATTAGTAGACAAATGAGTTGCTTACATCAAGCATCCATCAAAAAGTTATTAAAGATGGTTAATTAGTGGTTGCATAGCCTCTACCTTTTGATTAGTAGTCCCAATAGATCTTTTAACCTGAAAAATGCAAATAATAAAATAAGTTATTATATTTTGTCTACTATTGTCATTCATGAATATAAACAAAAAAACCAAAACACTTAAAGGTAACTTTGAGACTTTTTTTTGCTTGACTAATATAACCCCTAGTAATAGTAACTAGATTTAATCTGCTATTACCATGAACCTCTCCTTTGCATGTCCTTACACTATGCCCTAGTTTTCTACATTTAAGCTGTTCTCCTCTTTTACTAAATTTGAATTAAGTTCCAACTGTTTTCATTTGTTTCTTTTCTCTTGTTCTTATGTGGTCTTTTAGGTGGCCATCTTATAATTGGTGGCAATATTGGTTCTAAGGATTCAATAGTTCACTAATTTGCACCTTTGATAGGGCTAATGAAGTTGGAATATAGCTTTACTTGTGTGATCTTACTGTAGCATAAGTCAACATAATTTTAGGTCTTTTTTAGTCAAGAACTGAAACAACATGCTTACATAGAATGCTCATGATATCTCATTTTTTGCATGAATAGGTATGCAACTTAAGGTCAACTATATGTTGATTTGGCGGACCACATGCAACTTGGTTCCTTGGACTACTAGCATGTTTTGGCCAGCATTTACTTGACTCTAAGATAATTCGATCCATCATTTTTTGTATTTTAGGACACAATGGTCTTAGATACCTTTCAATCGCTGCACTTTTGAAAGCAATCCTTTGTATCAGTTTTGTCCTAATAGTTTTCATTATTGTCAAGATTAGTTTATCTCTTGTATCCAAAATAAACTTGTTAAATGACTCACATAGATTATTAATAATGATGTCACACTTAACCATTGTTGAGAAATAGGACTTAGACCAACGAACTGGATCTTTTCCTTTAAGCCATTTGTGTCCAACAATTGATAAATCTTTCATTTTCCTCGTTGCATCCTCAAACTCCTTCAAATAGGTAGCTCTAGCAACTTTCCACAAACAATCCTTCAATGCTTTTCCTTTGTTTTCAGGGTTAACTTGTAATTCGTGTATAAATGCCTAACAAAGTTTTTATGCTCAGCATTAGGCACAATGTCTAAAAGTGCATCCACAAGTTCTTATAAAGCAATAGGTCCATAAACTATAGTTTGACCCTCAACTTAATTTTATATTGAAAAAGGAACAATAAAACAATTAAAGGGAATAGTTTCATACCTTTGTTTGTTTAACATAAAAATCCATTGATAAGAATTTGTAATCTCAAAGCCATTTTTTAGCAAAGACAAGAATTAATGCCAAGACTCAAAGTTTTCATTTTCAACAGTGGCATATGCTAGTGGATAGAGAGAATCATTTGCATCAATCCCAACAGCTAACAATAAGGTCCACTATAGTACCTTTTTAGGAAGCAATCATCAAGGCTAATAATATGCCTTGTAACAAGCTTTGAACCCATCTTTGCATGCTTATAAACAAATATACATCCTCTTAAATAACCTGATCTCTAGATAACAAATTATAGTGATCTCTTTATAGCTTTGCCTGAGCTCTTCCAAATAATCATAAATCTTATAATATTATTCTTTGTGATTTTTATACACAACTTCAAGTACTCTTTGCTTAACCCTCATATATTTTGACAATGACACATGAATTAAAAAGTCTACTATGACATCTTATTGAAAGAACTTAATGAATACTTTAGATTAATCATAAGCTTTTTGAGGTAAAGTTGAGCCATCCACTTAAAAATCTTGCTCCTATTTCCTTGTCTTTAAATCATGTATCTTTAAGGACATAAGTTTTAATCTATCAAATAGGGTCCAATAAGTCTTTTGCATTTAATTTTGCCCTTCAAAGTTTCCATGGACCCATCATTACATACAACATTAACTCTATTTTCGTTATTCCTTTTAAACTTGACATTATACCTATTCTTTTTCTTATACTGTCTTATGGCTTTTTTCACACCTCCCTGATTTGTCATATTTGCTTCATCATTAAATTTTGATCGTCTACTAACACCTTCAGAATTAAACTTATGCACACTATGTAAATAATTTGATTTTTCATATCTAAATCTATTTTCATCTTCACCACTTACTTTTCCAACTTCAACTCTAGCTACCATTAACACCTAACCTATCATCCACTCTAATAATAGTTCCAGCATTTCAACCAATATCACTCTTAATTCTTAAATCGACATTAACCTCAAATACATGATCATCATCATTATCTCTTATATCATAGTTATTCTCATTAAATCAAAATAAGAATTGTCATTTTCATCTTCATATTCATCTAAAATTTCATCTTCCTCTAAATTATAACTAACACCTTCACAATTTACTTTTGCTTCAATTTTGTTTCATTTTCGGTGCTTGAAGCAACTCCACTTATGGTTCTTTCTCAATAGTTCTATCATCAAATCTGCCATCTACATTATATGAATTAATAATAAATCCATCTTTTAACTAAAAATGGATGTAATGATTTCTTGGATGTTTGCAATTATATTCACAACATCAAAATCTATTCTAAAAGGCTTAATAGAATCAATACTAAATGCCTCTCCAATCATATCATTTATTTCAAGAATGGACATAGGTTATACATGGCATAAATCAAAGCTATCATCCCTTTACCTAGTATACTTTATAGTAAGAGTATACATAAATTGACCACCATGATAAACAACAGTTGAAATGTAGTTTGATTTAGGTTCTGAAAGAATTATTAAATTTTAAAACATTAATTAAAAAACTAACTTGATTTAGGCATAAAGTACAAAACTAATATGTATGTAATAGCTTTAAACTAATATGTAATATATTAATAGCCTTTGTGATAATTAAATAATCTTTCACTAGATGACAATTCAATAGACATGCCTAAAAAAGCTGTCAAATCCAAATATGGCTCCATATGCCTCAAAAAGCATTCAAAACCAAATATGGCTTCACATGCTTCCATAATATAGGACAAACAGACAAAAATGACTTAGCACATTAAACAGAAAATAAGCATTAAAAAATAATTTATCACACTCTACACCATACAAAAGACAATAAGAATATATCTGCAACAATCATATTAAATAATCAAAACTAAACTAAAACAAAAAATTAAAAAAAAAAAGTCAACAACACTAATCTATTCAATAGTAGGCAAAAAACAAAAACAAAAAACAAAAACAAAAATATGTTAAACTCCTATCATAAATAAGCATAACATATTTTCCCAATCAAAGCTTCCTTCTATCCATTACTTGCTAAACCTTAAACAAACACATTCCAAAAACTAATTTAATCTTACACCACTTGAAAAAAAATGCAAGATCAAGCCCTATTTTAAACTCACTCTAAACACAACAAATTTATAATCCTTAACTCTCAATTGCTTTAAATCACAACCTCTTCTCTTTAAATTGTAACCTGAAACCCCAAATCATAGCCTTTTATTTCTAAATCCCAAACTTAAATTTTTTTCCCTAAACAATGAAAATCCCGCAAACCCTAACCATTTTAGAAACCCCAAAACCCTAAGTTAATTTTAGGTTAAAGCTTTTAACTTAAAATATAATGACTTATTAACCCACTAAATTTTAGATTACATGAAATTTTAGTCATGTCAACTAAGTTATTTTATATGTCACATCATCACATCATCAAATTGTTAAATTTTAACATGTCACATCATACAACCGTTTTTGTTTAACATTTTAATAATTAAAAATACACTAAATGTTAGTGATAAAAAATATATATATTTTAATTATCATTTTAAAAAGATCCAAAAAAACTGAGTTACTATTGATGCCTTTTACCTGGTAATTAATGGCAAAGTGTTGATGGATCGCACACATAACTACCTTGTTCCAACCGCATTTGAATTTAGGTTAATTCCCACAAGTTTGTTAAAACTATCAAATCTTATGGATAACTAATATTAATGTACCCAAATCGTAATTTACCGTTAATTCTTTTTTTTTTTTTCTTTTTGAGAAAGGGAGACTTGAATTACATATAAAATCAAATGATCAAAGGCAATTTACCCTTAATTCCTTTTCTTTTTTTTTTCGAAAAATTACCTTAAAATCATCAATGAAATGAATGGCTTCCCACTAGGAAAAAAAAAATATTCCAACTAGTCATTTCTAACAAGACTCTGCAAACATTTCCACTACTGAATGAAAGAAACCCTGATATGATGATTATCAAAATTTAATATAAATGTTCATATGCACCTTACAAAGGTTCCATGCATTACATCCAAAGGAAAAAGGCCGGTTGAAGGAATCACAAGTTGACAGCTCCATGGCTTGTACCATAAAACAGAAGGATACAAACCCATCTAAGCAGTTGCATTATTCAGTTCTTTGGCAGGGGTTGATACTACCATTTTCTGTGGCTGCAGACACAAAAGAAAGAGCTTAGGTTGCATCATTAATAATTCAAGAATCACAGAATATCTATTACAGACATACTAACAAGAATAATCATCATAAAAAAAGAATATGAAAAACTAAAAAAAAAAAAAATCCTATAACAGTTTCCAGTGGTTCAGATTGACCAATCTCAATATTATCCCCATGCAATTGTGGTGCACAATAAAGTATGGTTTTATTTTATACATAATCACTCAAAAAAAAAAATCCTATTACAGATTGACCAATCTCAATGTTATCCCCGCGCAATTGTGGTGCACAATAAGTATGGTTTTATTTTATACATAACCACTTACCTCTATGCCTGAGTTTCAGCTCTTTGTTAATTTTCCACAAAATAACGATTTGCAGTTTGCAACCACTTTTACTGAAGCAGAAATAGATAAAAGCAGTGCCAGTAGCAAAAGAGGCCAAAAATGAAGCCCAATTTAGTACTTTCGTTGAAGTATTATCCTCGTACCTATGTTGTATTAGAAAATAAATCAAGAGGAGTATGCTATTGTGAAGGTCCAAGACTATCAAGATTCCAGAGGATTGAAGAATACAAATAGATTGACTAACAATGTGAAAAGAATCAGAGCCCCAAACTAGTAAGATTATTGCAATGGAAACTAAGAAATGGGGCACACACCATGACACCAAATGCAAAACCTTAGTTTCAGCCAATATCACCTGACATATGTTCAGCCTTCTAAGTCCTAAAAACCAACTCTTTGGTATAAAAACTTAATAAAAAGAACAAACTGCATTCTTAAGAAAATGAATCAACTTCTTACCGCTGCCAACTCTTCTTCATGTTTTGAAATGAAAGCAGTGTCAACCTTTCCATTTCTGAAGTCCTGTTAAGTGTGGCATATTAGATCGCTTAAACAATTTTGAACCTGAAAGCATAATATTCTCCAACTAAACATACACATCACACATTCACAAGATAGTACCACTAACCTCAATATCAAGGATGAGTTTATGGTATTCAATAGTTGTAGGAACCCCTGAAACAAAAAGTATGGATTAGGAGATTACTTGAGAGATGGACATTTTCTTGATAACAAAATTAGAATGAACCAAAAAGAAAATGGAGCAACTCCTTTGGCACAAGCATATTCAATTACATGCATGTAGCACCAACCGAACCAACAGGAGTCACACTGACAATGGTCAATGGAGGTAGCTATTCATTCAAACAGATGTAGAGAGTTGCCTTTTTCTAGTTAAAGGTTTCTTCACCCACATTCCCATGCAACCTCACATATGTGAATGTTTATAAGAATTGACCAAGAAAATATATAAAAATGTAAATGAAGCAAAATAGTACAGCACACCAACAAAGTTCAAACAGTAAACTCTTGGTCAATAATTAGTACCTGTAATTACAGTGTCATCAAGAGCCCTTTTCATGCGCTCAATTGCTTTTTCCCTTGTTGGAGCCCATACGATAAGCTAAAGCAGAGTACATAGATAGAAGAACAATGTCAAGGCAAATTTTCATTTTAGAGAAGCAGCCCCATAAGCAAGACAATTTTAAAGTACCAAAAAATAAATGCAGCACCTTGCAACATGAATCAAAACATGTATGCAGTTCTACATCAAACTTTGCTTTATGTTTTACTATGTTAAAAATAACCTTGGCAAATTTCAAAATATAATGCAGTTTACTGTATGCAGCTTGACATAAGACAATTTACAGTATTCTTATCACTTTTTCGTGAAACAAAGTTTTAGAATTCTCTTCTCTTCCAAAATAAGCTTTCTTGGACCTTCAAGGACTTTGCATAAAACTGCTCATACATGCATAATCTTACATGTGATAAAAATGAATAGTATAAGGAAAATATTACAAACCTTTCCAAGTAATGAATCATAGCTTGGAGGAACTACATAATCAGAATAAACATGGCTATCCATTCGAACAAATGGGCCTCCAGATGGCAAGTACGATGTTATTCTCCCTGTCAATCAGAAAGCAAAGGAGGTGTTTACAATATCGAACTATTAGACCAAGTCCTTCCATTTCCTCCCTATTCTTTTGGCTGTTTGAAAACCACATCCAAGGATAGAAATTGAGGAAAGATTAGGATTATAAACTTCAAAAGTAAAAAATTAAAAAAAAAATTCCTTAGAAACTATATACTCTATAACGTTAATAGATGAAAGCTTACATGTACTAAAGTTGGCAAAAAAAGCATATACAAGCTTGAATGATTCCAGTACAGAAGAAGGGACAATTTAAATAGAAGGCAACAATGAAAAGGCTCTGATGGTAGAATGTAGCAAAAATGAGCCTATTGCAACAATAATTTCCACATAAAACAGAAAACACGCTGTACACATACCTGGTCCAGGTCTGAACCCTTTAAATGCATCTTCTGCATTGATACGACATTCAATTGAATGCCCTCTGAGCACAATATCTTCCTGCAAATCATAATTCATGAGCAGTAGCATGCATTGTGTTTTATGCTCGAAAATTTTTGGTTGAAACATTGCATTTCAATACCTGTTTGTAGCGAAGTTTTTCTCCCATAGCTACACGAATTTGTTCTTCAATCAAGTCAACAGAGGAAATCATTTCAGTTACAGGATGCTCCACCTGAGTTTAATAAATGAAAATACAAGTTTAGCAGTACTAATTAGTCCGCTAATAGATAATTCATGAATCAAAGTTCCCAATCCTAATTCAACCTGGATTCTAGTGTTCATTTCCATGAAGTAGAAGGAACCTCTTTCATCCAAAAGGAACTCAACAGTTCCTACACCAATGTAACCAATAGATGCTGCTGCAGCCACTGCTGCATCACCCATGGCCTTCCGCAATTCTGGTGTCAATGCTGGAGAAGGAGCCTCTTCTAGAAGTTTTTGATTACGTCTCTGTATAGAAATCACATTCAACAACATTTTACGTCAGCCTTTCCATAGAAACTTCAAGAATGAAAATCTAAATGAGTAGCTACGGATGGTTTTGCCTTTTCCATAGAACTGCAGCCTTCATGTTGATTAGCTTTTTCTATTTATGGTTGAAAGTGATTACTTTATGAATTGGGTTGCTAAGACAAGACAAAGCAAAGTTCTGGACTAAGCATGGTAACAGTACCTGGATGCTGCAGTCGCGCTCACCAAAGTGAACAACATTACCATATTTATCTGCAAGAACCTGCAAAATCATACCATATAGCATAGGAAAATTAAAAACTTGTATGTAGTCTATACTCTATAACAGAGAATATATGAAGCAAAGGGCAATAAGGCTTAACAAAAGGTCAGTAAGCAATGCATGCTGTAAGCCTTCCAACAGATGAAGCCATCAATGAAAGCTAATGAAAATATAAAATATTCTCCTCGCACGTATAATGTTACCAAGAAACCATTCTAGCTGTAAAGGAGAACTACACAATAATGCTCTCCAGATTTACATCATTAAGAGTGATTCAAGCCCATGAAGAGGAGGGAACTTATACAAGCATGGATTAATCACCTGGAACTCAATGTGCCTTGGATTTTGAATGTACTTCTCCAAATAAACTCCGTCATTCCCAAATGCAGCTGCAGCTTCACTTTTGGCTTGCTATAAAATATGGGAATTAAATTAAAACTGAGTACAGATACACTTCACTTAGATAATGCATGCTACAATCTTTTTGGACAAAATTAATTTATATTAATCCATGAGATCTAACTGGCAATTTAGAGTACATAAAAAATAAACTGAAAATTTTTTCACATATATAAAATATTGATCAAGAAATGACATGAAATACCAAAAAAATGTAGGTATTTGTCTAGTAAATCAAAGAAACATTCCTGAGAAAACACTGGTGCTTTCAAGCTAGCAAACGAAATCAAGGAAAAATATAGTAGGATTAGAAGTCCTAAACTAGGTTGCAGGTCCTTCCAATTGATTGACTCAATTAGGTACTTTAGACTTGAAAAATCAATATTTAATGTTACTAAGGGTTTATCCTTGCAGCTGAAATAGCAAGTTCCAATTACCATAACTGTAACCGAATGCTTCATGCTGCAAAGAAAGGAGCCAGCAAACCTTTGGGTCAAATTATCATGAGACAGTAGAACTGAATTAAATCAGAAGACAGAAATGGGCAATAATGATCAAAAAGTTAGAAAAATAGATGGAGAGAGTTAAGATCTTTTCTCTTTACTTTGTTGTCTACCCTTTGGCTTTTAGGTTTGCTTCCTTCACATGTTGCAAATAATGTCTAATTACTAGGGGATTAAGTCAATAGAAAAAGGTTGTAAAATATCACTCTCAAAATAGAGGAAGACTTTACTCATCCCTTAAGCTTGGTGGTACCACTATGGTCCCACAGCCCTTTTTAATGGATGGGCTGCACTGCCACAGGCCTGAGAATAGATTCTAAGTTCTACACCCATCACACCCAAAAAATTGAAAACAAAAAAAACAAAAAGGGTCAAAAGAAGATATGGAACTGCTACTTTTTTGTCCTTTCTTTTCTTTTGCTTTTCTTCATTTTTCTCTCTGCTTCTCAACAAATTTTGTTGCTAACCCAAGCCCACCATTTAAAAATCAAATAAGGATAAGGATCTATTCCATAATTACATCAGCTCTGCACTGCTCCAGGAGGGAAAAAACAAAAGAACAGTCACAAGCCAAATAACAATTGACTTATGATTAAATAAATTATACAAAACTGAAAACTTCAAACGGGAGATATGTTGTCAACTAAAATAGTTGGAGCAAATGGTATTTGATGTAATACCTGTAGTAACTTCACAAACTCATCAGGCTCTTTAGCAAGACGCATTCCACGGCCTCCACCACCAGCGGTGGCCTTGAATACATAAAAGAATAAAAAATAAATTACCAAAAATTTATTGGCTAAAACGGATTTCTGGGCAGTTTCACAAACAGCAGTACCCTCTTGACATTCAAAATCATATTTCATAGCTGCCTTTTGGCAGTAGTGGCAGCAAAAGAACACAATTTTTTTTTTGCATCTTTTAACAAAGAAACACCATTGAACCACTAAAATGTCTTGCAACAATAAAATGAATACTTAATAACGTTCAAATAGTGATCAATAAGAGGTTAGATTTTGCAATGATTTTAGAGAAGTTACAGCCAGAGCAAACGAGAGATTTATGAACTCTATGCTTGGATAGGACTTAAAAATCAAAAGATTTTGTTTTAATAAAAAAATGAATAATTCTTGATTATTATTCCTGGCTCTGCTTTACATGCATGTCTATTCTTCCTATGAACAAGTCTAATAATTTTAGGCCTTTAGGTTGCTTTTCTTATCAACATGCAGGTGCACGAGATATGTTTCTCTTTGAACAATCAATCTTTGAATTAAAATGAAAAAACTTATTTAAAAAATTAAACAATTTTCTAAACAAAACCTAAGTTGAATAGCCAGAAAAGGTCCACCAAATTCCCATGTTCAGCCAGTAAATTATACTGATAATAGAACATACGTTGATTGTTAGGGAGCAAAATAATCACCTTGATCATCACAGGAAAGCCAATCTTATGGGCAAGCTTGATTGCTTCCTGTGTACTCTATATAATAAACATAAAGTTAACCTAGGAACTCCAAACTGATCATATAAATACTATGTATGAGGTTGCATCCACAAACAATTGCCCAAATATAATACCTGTAACAATCCATCACTTCCAGGAACAGTAGGAACACCTGTATTCTTCATTGTTTCTCGGGCAGTTGATTTGTCACCCATAATACGAATACTGTCAGGCTGACAAAGAATAGCCAGAATTCATTCCTTTAAATTAGGACTAAGGATGAGCTAAAACCAAAGAGTATCCAAGCTGGACAAATGAGCTAAAAGAATAACATCAGTGTTTACTTTAAAACCCATCAAACACATAAACTTGTCCATTCAAAATATTATTCTCAAATGACTTGATAGTTGTGTACTTACATTAGGCCCAATAAAGTTGATTCCATGATCTCTGCACATTTGGACAAACACTGCATTCTCAGCAAGGAAACCATATCCAGGATGAAGCATGGTACAGTTACGGATAATTGCGGCAGATAGGACATTCTGAATCAATAAATACCTGAACAAAGACAGTCAAACATACAAATTATGCTATTATCAGTACTCTAACTGAATAAATATACAAAACAAAAGTATGGCATTGGTATTCATACGATACAGAATGCCAAAACAAAGATAAAGATTGTAAAAGCAGAATATGAAATACAGGCATGTGCATCAAAGAAAAGGAACAAAGAGATGCATATATATGCTTGATATACGCCTATGGCCAGGTGGATACAATCTAACGAGAAGTTTCACACTTGATTCTTCAAGTGAAGACAAAAAAATACACTTCATGCATTTGTATAACTGGTCTTCTTTGGCCTCGAATATCTTTTCAAATTTCAATTGAATTCCGAATGAAACTAAGCTTCCAACTCTTAAAAGAAGCAAAGAAGATTGTAAACTTTGCAACAATTTCAAAACTTAACTGGATTGCACTTCTGAGCCAAAAAAAAATTAGTTCATTAAAGAACACTCCCAAAATTAGGAAATAATTTAAAATTTAAGCAATAAAGTTCCTATTTACTTGGTAAGAGGATTGCTATTAGCATACATAAATAGACTCAGGAAGTCTTTAACATGGGAAAGAGTTGAAAAACAAGAACAGCCAAACGAGAACATTTTAGAATTCTATTTAAGTGCTACATGGAAATTACTTTCCGGTTAAATCTTGATATGATTTTCAGTACTTTTCCATATATTAGTGCTTGTTGAATCTTGTCTAACAGATATAATTAAATCAGGTACTTTTATCTTGGTAATTGTTTCATTCCCAGTTCCTTCCCCTTCTTTCTTAATATCCGCATTATAGATCCCTAATTCAATGAAACAAAAGAAGATTAAACGAGGAGTATCTTACATATGTAGCAAGTAACAAGACAAATTTTAGAGTAAATTTTGTTGGAAAAGCTAAGACAACTAAGATAGAAGCTGATCAAGAAAACCACAGCGACTCAAGATATGACTACTTACGATTGACTGCTTGGTGCTTCACCTATGCAAACCGATTCATCAGCCACCTTCACATGGAGTGCATCCTTATCTATTGTTGAGTAAACAGCAACACAGGGTATCCCCATCTCATGAGCTGTTCGGATTACACGAACAGCAATTTCTCCTCTATTTGCCACCAGAATTTTCTCAGCACGAAATGTAGCACCAAGAGCTCCTCCACGCTTACTAGATTTACATCTAACATTAGTCGACTGAGCTTTCTGACTAGGAAAGTTGATCCTGCTTCCCACCATAAAGGTACATTGGGAACTCCTAATACCTCTACTTCTCCCCAAGAATAAGCCCTTCAATAGTAAAACCATAATATTAACCATACGTCATAATAAAGCAGCGCATAACTTCGCTTAAAAATACGTGAAAATATTGGAGCTTTGGCAGAATTCGCTCTAGTAAACTAGTAAAGATTGGAGCTTTGAACTGGAGGTTAGATCCTTTGGTTTATGCAGCCAATCTCAAGAAGTGTCATCCAGCAAGTCTGAAGTTCGACTCTCAACACTTACAACCCTTCCCTTATATCCAAGCTGCTGCCTCTTTGTAAAAAAAAAAAATTTGTAGCTTTGCCAGAATTCATCCTAAGGAAATTTACCCAATTTCCAAAACCATATTGAAGAAGGAATTTCATCAAGTTATTTATGTTTTATGAGACCCACTGAAGCATCCAACAGAAGGAACAAAGTGATAATTATGATTCCAAAGAGCAAAGAGACTTACAGGAGGTGAGTTGACAGATTTGCACACGGTCATTGAAACATCCATTGCCATTGCAAAATTAAAAAAAAAAATGCCTACAATAACAAATACCCATTAAAGCCATACTTACAATGCTATACGTCTAAGCATCAAAAAGCATTAGATCTAACGTAACGCTGAGAATTAAAGAAAGAAAGAAGGGAAGATACCACGTTTGACGTGAACGAGAATCAGACAATGTAGTAAGAATAAGGGGAATGGAGAAGTAGAGAGCGATACGGAAAAGCTGTCGATGGAAACGAGGAGAGTTTTTGACTGAATGCTCCGCCTTAATGGTTGGGGACATTACGCCCAGATTCCCTCTGCTCGCATCAGACCTTTTCCTACGGTTCCTATCTTTGCGGTTGGGTCCATTCTTCCAATGCGTTCATTCCACGTTACCATCTCACAATTACCTGGGACCCAATTAGATCCTGGCTGTTTAGTTGCTCAACTGCCCAAGCTGCCGACCAACGGATGACCTGAGCAACATCGAAAATTACCCCACTCACAATCTTTCTCATGCCTTAACGAACGAATTATCGAAAACAAATAAAATAATATAATTTTATACTATTTAAATGTAATATATAAAATATTATTATTTAATCATGTTTGACTGTAATGTCATTTAAATAATATTATAATTAAATACAAAACTAGACAATATAATTAGAAAGTATTAATTCAATTAATTAATTCTTAATAATATTAAATTATTAAATACTAAATATTCATATAATTAATATTTAATAAATTATGTAACTATTAAAATATATATGAAATTTAGTAAATAAATTTTATTATGAAAATATATAATAATAAATTAATTCATAAAACCATCCATTTACTCATGAACAGTGACAAAAACAAAAACATATTTTCAAAAATAATAGAAATAAAATATTTTTGCTTCCAATAATTTTGATTCTTTTATTTTTTAAATGAAAAAACGTTGCCAAGCATTTTTATTATTTAAAAAACATTGAAAACAAAAATAAAAAACCAAAAAAATGATGCCAAATTATTTGTCGTTACACTTCTAATTTTTATACATAGAAAAAGTCTTCGATCTATTTTTTCGTTTAACTTTGTTGTTAATTGTCACTAACGACAAGTATTAGTTGACATGTATGATAAAGGCTTAGTTGTAAAATCCCTAATTTTGTTTAGAATATTGAGAGCATTTTCAAATTGTTTTGGACAATTTCAAACGTGTGAATTTATTTCATGAGAGCTTTTAAATACAGCTCAAAAATTGCTCTTAACAACCAAAAATTAAATTTTTTATTATAAAGATATCCACTGATATATTTATTTAATTATCTTTATTAAAATTACTTTTCCATTCCTCAATAACACCTACCTATAATTGGTATTGCATGCGAAAATACATACTAAAAATTTTAAAACCTTTCCAAATATGCATGTCTAGTTATTTTAAAACATTTTTAAATATATATTTTTAAAAAATTTTTAAAATTTTCAAATATTTTTATTCAAAATGCACTTAAACTTTCTGAATATGTATTTTTGAGAAATTTAAAATTTTTTTGAAAGGACATCCAATGACAAAATTTTCTTTCTTCCATTTTCATTTTAGATGCCACAAGTGCTATTGACACTGCCCTTTTAAAGCTGGTAATTTAAGTGCTATTGATTCTCGACTCCATTTCAAGGTGTATTTTTCCTTAAAAAGATTCAATTTTTAATATTCAAGAAGGATTAATTCTTTTTATTCTTTGGCCTTAGAAGCAAGACACTAGCCTTTTTTGGTTGTTTAACTGATCTCTATTATTCTAGATGTATATTCTTTCTATCAATTACAATAGTTTGAAAGACTCATTTTCTTTTGATCTTTTTGGTGTCTAAGAAAATACTTAAAAGGCTACAAATATGCATATTTGTATGCCTTTTAAACTTTTCGTAGACAAGTATCATATGCTTCAAAATCTATATAATATTTCACAACATTGCAACAAATTCAACCACATTAATTTGATTCAAATAGGGAAAAAAATATATTTCAATCTTGCCTTAGATTTGTCGATTCCGTCTTAACCTTACCTCAAAATTGGGATTAAAGGTTTGAAATTTTCTATCAAGAGAAACAATGGAAACTAGTAAAAAGAGAGAGAGAGAAAGCTAGGGTTTGATAGATGTGAAACGTGAAAGAGATTAACAGGTTGAAGGTAATTTTGTTTGAAATAAGCTTGGTTGTGATGAGCTATTTTAGTTAAAATGGTTTGAAAATTGGGTGCTAAAAGCAAAATTAGGGTTGTAAATAAAATTTCCCCTAATTTCATTAATATTTTCGATATTTCAATCTAGTTTTGGAATATTTTTTATAATTAAAATATTTTGTTTCAAAAAATCTTTGGAGAGAAGGGGAATTTTTTAAAGAGTGAGTAGAGAAGAAAGGTTGGCCATTAAAAAAGATAATATTTCGCTTCTTGTTACTGACTTAGCCTTGCAAATGGACGAACTACCCCTCATAATACCAATCAGCATTGCAAGGGGCAAAATTTGGCCTTTTACACCAATTTGATGAAAAGCTTAATTTGACCTCTCTCACTAGATTCGATATAGTAAAAAGCTATCTCGACTCAATTGCGTATATAGATTTTCTTTGAAACATTAAAGAAATAGCTTATTTGCAATAAGAATTATAGTTAGTTTTGTTAAGATTCCCAAAGAATGTGTCAATTTAGTAAATGATTTTTCTAAAGCAAAAGTAGGACTCGTGACATGATAACATGGTTACAAAGAAGTAAGCACATAGAAATGTTAGGTATGATACGAAGGATTTAGCATAATTATTATCTTTTGTTACCTTAAAGACTTGAATAAATCAAGAGGGGGGTGAATCGGTTAATTACAAATTTTAACAATTTGAACTCCAATTAACTTAATGATTACAAATATCAATTTCTAAGCAAATAAGCATAATATACAAGCATAATAAAAATAATTTGGAAAGTAAAGAATGTAGAGTTGGAGAATCAAACACCGGTATTTATAGAGGTTTAATCCTTTCTCAAGACACCTACGTCGTTTCTGTTAGCCTTACTTGTCAAGGAGTTTAATTCACTATCAAGATGTTAAATGTTACAACCTAGCTCTTCCAAAGCTCTATACAATCAATAACAAAGCCTCTTAAAGGTTAACCCCCTCAAGCTCACAATCTCACAATACAAATCTTAAAATATTTTTGCAAACTTAAAGACCTCTCTAAGGTTAGGTATTTACTATTTTAAAGTACAAATAAATTTTATGAAAGATATCAAAAGAAAATGAATACAAAATTAAATTTTTGCACTTTCACACAACAACAATATACTTTTAATGCTTGAATATGATAGAGGATGGAAGTAATAAATTTTCTTGGCTCTTGATTTCTTGTAATATGGTAGAAGACTTTTATTTATATGTAGAAATAAGAGATAGCCGTTGGTTTCATTTAATGCTTGGAGAGCTCTACAAACAAAAAGAAAATATGACCATTTGAAGCTATCAAGGTCAAATTGATTGATCCCTTTTTGGAGGGGATTGTTCAATTTTGGCTTTTCAAGCCAAAATTTTCTTCAGTAAAATAGTACCATTGATCAAGTAAAAATTGGATCGATCCATTCCCATACCTAATCAATCTAGTAAAATAGGTGATTGATCCATTTTAAAATTTTTGAAATCAATTTTGCTTCTAGACAAAAACATATCGATCTATATAAGAGAAGATCGATTGGTTTTGAAAATCCTTGACCCAATTGATCCTATATGGTAGGGGAATAATTGGTTTTTGCAATTTTAGAACAAGAAGGCTTTTTGGGTAAAAAAAAAAAGATCAATCCTATGCAATAGGGATCAATCCATTACTTGAAAGGATAGATCCTATCTTTTAGGGATGATCCTTTCTTTCCATTTTTGCACAAAATGTTTTTAAGCCATGGAAAAAAAGTTTGTTTTCGTTCCAAAACATTTTTTCACTTGATAAAAGCTAGAAAATCTTTCTTTTTTGAGTTCAAAGCAATTTATTCCAGTTTTAACAATATTTGGTTTGTCATTTCAAAATAAACATCAATTCAAGGTTAACAATCTCCCTCTTTTGATATGACAAAACCATTAGATAAATTTGCTTAGAAAAACTTGCTTGAAAACATTTTTCCTTTTGGCAAATAAGCTCCCTTTGAATATAAGCACAATTACCAAAAATTAAAAGCCATTTTTCATCAAGCTTCCATTAGCAAAAATCCATCGCATTGTTAGCAAGTTAAGCATATCAAAATATCAAGAGCATTTATAAAACATAGGCACATATAATAACAAATATTCATTTGAGCACATATCTATCAATAAATATCAATTTCTCCCCCTTTTTTTGTCAAATATTCCCCATTTTTCTCATTTAAAAAAAGTTCCTATTCAAACTCTCCCCTTTCTTATTAAAACTCTCCCTCTTAGAAACGTATAAACAAATATAAGCAAATTTCTATAATACTCTCCTCCTTTTTGTTATAGCAAAAAGAATATAATAACTCCACAAAAGCAATTCTACAATCAATTCAAGGCAATACAATAGCAACACAATCAATATAATATCATGTAATCTCAATACCATATTTCAATAATCACGATAGCAACTCAGAAACAATAATCAACGCAATTCGTCACATGCCACATAATCAAGCATAATATAATAGAAGATGTTCATGCCATTAATGAAAATATGCAAAGTACAATTGTTAATACTATAATAAAAGTTGTTCTTCAGAGTTGTGCAAAAGAAAATTAAAAGCATAAAAAGATCAAAACGTAGGAAAATCAATTTTGGTTTGGCATCATAGGTTGGTCTAGATGGAAAGGGATAATTGAAATCCTCATTTTTTTTGAATTTTTTCCTTTATGTTTTCAAGTCTAGAATTTATGTCCCCAACCAAAAGGAGGATAAACTATTCATTTGCATCATGAGAACTTACAATGACCTTGTATATATATATATAATATTTTTTATTGTTTATTTATTTAATTTTATATTTATATATATGTATTATATTAATAAAATTATTATGCAATACTTTAATTTAAGATATTAATTTAATAAAAATACCATATTTATGATAATTAAGATATAATTTATATTAAAAATAATATTTTATGAATATTATATTAAATTAAAATTATTAAAATGAATTTCGGGTCGAGTAAGAAAAAATAATATTTTAATGTCGGGTTGGTTATGTTCGAGTATTTATTTTATAGAGTTGAGTCAAGTTTTGGACAACCAAAAACCTCCTACCGACCTATTACCATCACTACTCGTGATTCAAGCCACAAGAATTGGTTAGCTATAATAGAGTATTGGATCTATGATTGGTAAGGCCATTTTTTCTCCCGTTAATTAGTAGTTCAAGAAAATTTAAACCTACATCAGGTGTGGGGTAAGGCATGATTTTTAGAATAAGGACATATTTGTCAAGGTGAGCAAACAACTTCACTATGAAAAGCTATTGA